ACACACACACACACACACACACACACACACACACACACACACATGGAAGTGGACATGTAGTGAGAGATGTGTCAGTGAAGTGCTGTTCCAAACTGAGAGGACGAGGTTTCCCAGGATGCTCTGCTCCAGCTCTTCTCATCACGACGCAGAGATTAATTAGTACGAGTCGCAGCAGCAGCTGCACAGATGTGATGTCAGCGGACGTTTCAGGTTTTCATCTGAGAGACGGGATCAGAGTGCGAGGCGTTTAATGTCCAATCAGAAAATCTTTCTAATTTAAGTTAAATAATAAAAAGTTCTTTTCTCTTCCTCCGTGTTTCTGCAGGAACATTTCTGGAGCATCGATAAAGCCGAGACCAAACTGGCTCCTAAACTCACCGTCCAGATCTGGGACAACGACAAGTTCTCCTTCGACGACTACCTCGGTAACACACACACACAAACACACACACACACACACACACACACACACACTTATCAACTATAAACGCAATTATAGACTTCATGGATTATTTAGTTAATTAAAACAAACATGTTGCGTTATGGACGTGTCCGGCTCAGTGCACCTCTTCTGTCTCCGACTTATTCTCGACTCACACTACACAACTCTGGTTGAGACTAATATCTTTTAAAGACGTGGTATTGGATCAGTCCACGTTCACTGTTGGACGTTTTTGGCGGCATTTCAGGTGTCTCGGCTATCGTGTCCATTTTTACTTATTTAAATTTCCATTTACTCGAATATAGTGAAAGTTTTACTGGTTTGTACCGTTTCAAGAATTTTGGTTTTGGACAATTCGCCGGTTTTTCCACAGTTTTTCCGACACGTTGAATGGAACCTCGTGTGCGACGCGTCCGCAGACAAACGACTGCGATAACATTTTTCTTCAGAGTTAACTCTCGTCCATTTCCACTGCGTCGGCACATTTCACAGAGAGGAAGGGCTCGTCTTATTTTCTCTTCTTCAGACTCGAGCTGTCAAAATTTCTGCCTTTCCTTCACCCCTGACGTTGCCCCACCGCCGGGCCTCCTCCACCTCCTCCTCCTCCTCCTCCTCCACTCCGCCTGCCTCACTTCATCTTCTCTGCCAGAGAAGAGGGAGGGATGACGGCCTGTAGATCGAGCGTCCGACCGGAGAAGGAAGATGAGGAATCCAGACTCTGATCTGTTCCTGTCTATCACCATCTCACCCTCTGCGCGGCGGCCATCTCTCCCGCTCAAACGCGTTCACCTCGTACAGTCTGCGGGTGTGTCGCCACCTCAAAGCATTTTTTTCCCGTGCCTGTGTGTCTTCAGCTCGTCAGCTCAGACCGCCGACTGATCTTCCCGCGCAGCGTGAGGGTCAGACACGAGCCATTTTCCTACAATCACACCGTCGAGCAGCAGCCGACTCTGGAAAAACACTTCCAGTGGACGTCTGGTCTCTGTGCAGCCGTTCATCAACCCCCGGCTCCTCCGTACTTAATGTCAACAGCCATCAAAACGTACTTCCTAACTCACCCTCACCGCGGGATCGAACATAATTCACTCTGAACTCACTCATTAATTAGCCATTAAGAAAAACTGGCGACTCACTGATCCGAGCCACGTGTCCTCATTTACGACTCGAGATCAGAGAAGCAGCGCGACGATGATGATGATGTTGATGTTTACGTTCATGAATTAAGTAGAAATGTTTGTGCATCCGTTTGAACGCAATCGTCAACGACTCCTCAGGTCACCTGGTGATGGATCTGAACCACATGCTGCGTCCGGCCAAGTCCCCGGAGAAATGTGACCTGCAGCTGCTGGACCAGACGAGCGACAGGCTGGTGTCGCTGTTCGAGCAGAAGACCGTCAGAGGCTGGTGGCCGTGCGCCTGCGAGAAGAACGGCGAGAAGATCATTGCTGTGAGAAACACAAACAAAGTCGACGACATCGTCGGCGAAATGACACACACGCAAATAAGACAAAGATCAAATACGGAAGCTGAAGATCAGAACAATGATAAAGAATTATTTTAGCCGCTTAGCTTCATTCACTTCATTTGAGGACTGACTCACTACTGCCCTCTAGGGGAACTGCAGCTAATGTTCGTATCGCTCCAGTTTGTTTGTTCACTCTCTTCCTCTAAGACGATGTGATGTCACGCTGTGTGGGCGTGGTTGTTTTCCATGTGTCAGGGGAAGGTGGAGATGTCGCTGGAGATCGTGACGGAGCAGGAGCAGGAGGAGAGACCGGCCGGCCTCGGCAGAGACGAACCCAACATGAACCCTCACCTGGAGGAGCCTCAGTGAGTCTCACACACACACACACACACACACACACACACACACACTAACACACACACACACACACACTGTAGTAACTGTGTCCTCTCCTCCCAGGCGTCCTGAGACCTCCTTCCTGTGGTTCTCCTCCCCGTTTAAGACGCTCAAGTTCATCCTGTGGAGACGCTTCAAGTGGTTCATCCTCCTCTTCATCATCCTCTTCCTCATCCTCCTCTTCTTCGGGGTCTTCCTCTACGCCTTCCCGGCAAGTTTGAGTTTCTCTCTCTCTGTGTGTGTGCGAAAAAAAAACGTACAAATAAAGGAACGGGGGTGAAAACAAACCCTCCTGACTCTTTTTCTCTTCCTCCTCCTGCAGAACTACGCTGCCATGAAGATGGTGGGACCTTTCGGACCGGCCAAAGCTGCCCAGTGACCACGGCGACAAAGAGGACAACGAGTTTCTGGAAGTTTCATGTTTATCTCCGTTCTTCTGTTTCCTGTTCCCAAAGTCGCAGAATGAAAACTGCAGAGATGAACTGATGAACTCGCTCTGACCTGATTGGAAACACTGCGATTCACAAATCTGTCGTGTGTGTGTGTGTGTGTGTGTTTGTGTGTTTCGCCCTCTGTGCGTCGCTGCGCTTCCATCAGATCTCAGCATGTGTCGCCGGCGCCCTCAGCCCGTGTCCTCGTCCTCCCTCCGCCACCGCTTTCATCTCTCGCTCCGTCTCATCTGCGCTCACGCAGAGAAAAAGGGGAATAAAAAGCCCGTCGCAGAAACGCCGGCGCCTTCCAAGAAAAAAAGCGGAAACAGAATCAAAGATTGAGACGTGGCCGCTTGATCTTTTCACCGCCTGCTGGTTCCCGAGGTCAGACCAGGCGGTGACTCGTCTTCTTCACGATGTCCAACTTTGTCGTTCTAAACTCAGTTTGTTGGAAAAAATATTTCAGCAATTTCTCTCTGAATCGTCTCTGTCCACATCCTCCTCCTCCATCTCCCTTCTCTCCTTCATCCTCCTTTTCTGCTCCTCTTCTTCTTTCTCCTCCTCTTCAATCTCAGCCTCTCCATCTTTTTCCTCTTGTTGCCTCTCTTCTTCATCCTCCTCTTCATTTACACCTTCCACAACCCTCAAACTTCCTTTTCCTCCTCTTCATCTCCTCCTTTCTTCTTCCCCCTCGTCTTTTTATCCTCCTTGTCCTCCTCAACATTATTTCCTCCTCCCACTCAATTTTGCATCCTTCTTTTACCTTCTCCTCCTCAAGGTTAATCCCATTCTCTTCGTCCTCCCTCACTTCTTCCTCCCCGTGTTCTCTCCTTCTCTCAAAGTATCTCTTTGCTCCTCTTCTTCCCCGTCCTTCCTCTCCTCCTCCTCCTCTGCCCTCTCATTCTGTTCCTCCTCTTTCTTCTCCTTTTCTTCACATTCCTCCATCTCCTCCTCCTTGTCCTTCTCCACCATCTCATCATCCACCTCCTTCTCTTTCTCTTTTTCCACCTCTTCTCTGACCTCCTTCTCCTCCACCATTTGATTCACTTTGTCCTCCTTTTCTCCTTCTCCTCTACCTCTTAGTCCTCCTGTCTCATATTTGTTTGCTCCTCCTCTTCCCTGTCCACCCTCTCCTCCTCCTCTTCTCCATCCTCCTCTGGTCTTTCTTCACTCTCAGGGCTCAGCAGGTTAAGTCGTGGATTTGTTCTTGTTGATCTTAGGGTTTGACTTTTATTTGCACAAAGTACGTTTACAGATGGATGAAGTCAGACACACACACACGCACGCACACACACACACACACACACACACACACACACACACACACAAACACACACACACACACACACACACAGACAGACAGACACACACCAACAATCACATACAGTACAGAACAGGAAGACTAAAGACAGGAACTAATCCACTGGTAATCGATTGGATTTCCTGATGTACATGCTCATTTGTGTGTGTGTGTGTGTGTGTGTGTGTGTGTGTGTGTGTGTGTTTGATGCTTTGATCTGCACACACTGACTTAGCGAGTGAAGCGAAACATAGACGGACGATAAAAACGAACAGAGCCGTAATTAAAAAGACATAGAGACGAGAATGGAAAGAAATATTCCTCTCAGTCGTTGCTACTTAAGAATTATTTTTCTTTTTTCTAGCTTCACTGTCTACCGCTGTGGTCCTGACCAGAGTGGAAAAACTGACTTAGACCCGTTAGGTTCGTTTTTTCGGTTCTTGTCGGCCAATTACGAGCCAACCAGGCCCCGTAAACAAGAAGTCACATGGCCCCACACGCAGCTCATTTACAGGACGGAGCTTTAGAAACCCGCCATCATGCCTCCGGCCTCTCAGCTAATTTCACCTCTGTGGAATTCTGTGATCCATTTACGACACATTAAAAAAACAAAGGTCCACGCAGACGTTTAGTTCAGATTTAGTTCGTCCCAAACACCCAACGTGTCTCCTTGTACTTGTAAACTTTTTGGTTGTTCTGGCATGGTTTAAACGTTGCTGCCCAGAAACTAAAGAAACGCTGCATTTCACTTCGAGGAGAGCGACCAACTTCACACGACTCGTTCTCGTTGGTCACAACACCTCGATGAAGAGACGGTGAAACCGTCTCTCAGGGGTGCTCTTCTTTCTTTCTGCTCAGTATGTGTGTTCTATGAAGTGTTTATTTTTCAGGGATGTAGAAAGTCACCGCATCGGTCCATGCGGTTTATTTCTTTTGCACCGTTCGGCGTCCCTACAAAGAAGGGATGCAAACTAAGCTGCAGATCCACACGCAGGCCAAAGCTCACTCTCACAGACTGGAAATAAAGATGGACGCCGTGACTGCTCCTCAAAAATGAATCCAAAGCTCCTCAGTGGCCCCCTTGTGGCTGGCTGCAGTTTAAGTCATAAGCCCCGCCTCCTCCATGTTAGCAGATGGACCAAATTAAAAACAGACCTGTGTGTCTGATTTTTTTCCTGTTGTTCTTATCACACTGATGAACGTTCGTGTTTCTGATAAGTTTGGTTTTAATAAGTCATTTGATGATATTAAAAATGGGTGGAGACATCATGATTGACAGCTGCTGCTGACTCGTGATTGGTCGAGCTCGTGTATCGATGGGACCTTAATCGATAGACTCGAATCGACCACGGGAAGAAATAGAGAAACGTCGTCCATCTTTATTTACAGTCACTGATTGTCTTTAATATTGACTATCAATCCAGCTGCATCGAGTTCATCGTGAAAAAAACGTAAACAGGTGACATAGCTGGACGGAGACAATCATGCCCGTGATCACTTCTGTTGATAGTTTTGTTCATATCATTTTTCCCACAAAGCCTCGAGATGCCTTCATGCTGCATTGTTGTTGCGCAATTTCTCGTTCTCGTAAATTCTACGTGCCTTTAGCCTTTAGCTTCGCCGTCTGGATGTACAGTGACACTAACTCGTCGCTCGGCATGAATCAAAACTAATACCGACGTGAAATAACCAAAATATTTCATTTGTTAGCTTTAATGTTTTTTGAAACTAGCCACACGCCAACTCAGTAATGTTGACGGCCTGTTGACGATATGTCGACGCCCCGTGAGAATCACAGACTGAATGTATTCGAGATGTGACTTATGTATTTGACTTGTCCACAAAGAGCAATACTGTGTGCACTGCAGTTCATCACTAGTACCGATTAAACTGCATTTTTGATCCGTGTGTTGTGTGTTTCTGTACGCGGACGGGATTCTTACGACAATATCATGAACATCGCCAAACATTTTATCATCAGTAGGTGGCTCGGGGAAGCAGGGGATCTTGGGTAATACCATCACACGGAGCCCTTCAGAATGAATCACCACTGTGGCTGCAGAGGGCGCTGTTGCTTTAACATATCAGTGCATTCAGATGGCAAAAAAAAAAAAAGTGATTCAGCATCAGAGGAGGAGTAAAGACGAGAAAGAGGGAGGGATGGAGGTCAGGGCTTGGAGAGGAGGAGGAGGAGGAGGCAGACAGGCAACATCCAAGAGAACGAGAGAGACAGAAAAGTGAGGACGGACCACACACACACACACACTCAGTGGTCAGAGGTTCACCTGCAGGTCATGTTGACCAGAGCGGGAGGGAGGGAGAGAGGGAGGTCAGAGGATGGGAGTGGTGCGGAATCAGGAGGGATGGACGAGCGGAACCAGGGATGAGGGAGGAGAGGAAAGGAGGAAGAGGTGGGAAGGCAAAGTAATAATTTAGGTCTGTGGGAGCTCTGGAGAGGAATCGATCAAAGTGTGTTTTCAGTTCGCTGCAGGTTCATGTCGAGGTCAGTGAACTGAACACACGCTTACAAATACATGTAGATGTTCTGTTGGGTTTCTCTCATACGTACAACACACACCTTCAACACACACACACGTGTTCGTAGAGAAATATCATTCGTTCATCAGAGAAGAACAGCTTTTAAACAGAACGTGGACTGTAGGTGGGCTTCAAACACGTCTTTACAAGTTGTAACTCGACCAAAAACAAAACGACTTAATGGAGCTTTTACCAAAATTACTAATCGTGACGCCAACTTCAATGATCCGTAAAACCTCGAAGAAAACCATTTACCGAGATCGTTTAACTCCAAACATGTCCAGATACCTGGGGGGGGGGGTGATATCGGTCAGTTGAGTTCATTCATACGAACAGTGTCATGACGGAGAAACCCAAACACACGTGTCCGAATGTACGTCCGACGGTCGATTTAAAGAAACTATGTAGACTGTAGCTGTTACCGAGCGACAGCGCCCTCTGCAGCCACGAGTGGAGAATAATTCTGATTCATTCTGATGAAGTTGTTTTCATGGAGAGAAAAAACAAAGCTGTGTTTTCCCGCTGAACCCAAACACACCTGAACACTGGATATTACCCATGATCCCCGGCTTCCTGAACCAGAAGAGCTGCTGCTGTAACAAACAAACTCTGTTTAGACTTCGTCATATTTTAAAAGTTTCCTGCTGAAATATTTTGTTGTCATCTTCCTGTCCTTCACCCTGAAACTCGCCCTTCTCTCCATCATCAGCCTCCCTCTCCCTGACTCCTTCTTCTCCTCCTCTCTCCTCATCCTGTTGCCTCATCTCGCTGTGATGAACTAAAAAATGTTTGTTTACAGCCAACGAACATAGATGCCTTTCCCAACATATGTGTGTGTGTGTGTGTGTGTGTGTGTGTGTGTGTGTGTGTGTGTGTGTGTGTGTGTGTGTGTTTGAAGGTGTCTTTGAACATGAGGAGGTCAAAGTGCAGCTTATTCGCCAGACATGATGGAAACTGGCCTGAGGGGAGGCTGGCAAACAGGATTCTAGTTGTTTCATTATCACCTGCAACACATACACATACACACACACACACACACACACACACACACACACAGGGACTATAACATCAAACACTTGCAGCTAATAAAACTGCAGTAGCCTCATCTGTACCTGTGAGTCTATCTGTCACACTGCCAAAGTTCAGAGTGGTGATATCAGCTTGCACACACACACACACACACACACACACACACGATATCAGCTTGCACACACACACACGATATCAGCTTGCAAACTCTCCACACGCAGACGCTCACATGTGTACAGATGTGATTTAACAGTTTGCACCGACGCCTCCGAGGCCGATCATGAACCTCCTCCATGTTAGCAGAGAGTACACGTTAAATAGATGTCGTCGTGTTTGTTCACGTTCCTGATGAGTTTGGTTTTTATTAGTTATTTGAGGATCGACAGCTGAGATCCAAACCGCACAGCTGCTGATTCTCCCACACTGTAACAAATTACTGTAAAAATACTGGATATTTTGCACAGTAGTGTACCGTTTTCCATTAATACAGTTGAATACTGTAAATTCTGATGTTTGTGAGGAACAAAATATTAACAGCAAGCTACTGTAAAATCTTACAGTAAAAAGCAGTATTTATTAATTTTTTACAGCAAACTACCTGTAATCTTACAGTATAGTACAGTATTTTTTTTTTTTTTCAGTTTCACTTTAAATCAGACTTGATCTTCGGTCCGTTTAATAGTTCATCTGAGCAAAATAAAACATTAAATGAAATTAAAAATAGGCCTACACATCAGT